GGCAAATATTTTGAAGATGAAAGTCTCTCAGCCAGACACTTCCCTCTTTCTTGTGACCCCAAGCTTCTCTCTCCGTCTACATGTCTGTGTATCTCACAGAGAGCAAGCTGACAAATTCCTAATGCAAGAAGTTGTATATCGCTAATAAAGTGATCTTATCCCATCTTCTGCTGGACACTGTAAGCTGACACAGTGCCCTGCAACATCAGATAACAGCTGGCAGGGTCTGAGGGAGCACAGAGGTGACAAGGGCCCCCAAGCCTGCAACCTTGTTTGCAAAGAACACATGAAAACGTTCTCTTTTAAACTGCCACACTCAATCCTGGCCTACTGTAATACCAAGGAAGGAAGGCATCCTGTTTTGTACAACAGAGGTTCCTTTCATTCATGCACACTTACTCCAGCGATTTCTCCATCTCGGAGACGGTGAGCTCCAAATCGGTCAGTGCCTTTTCCTAGAGGGACGAAGAGACGAGGTTTAAATGAATCGGGATGATGAAAACGGACTGTTTTTGTTTTCTTTTACCAATCACTTCTTCAGCCTTACTTTATTGGTGAGATTATGCTCCAGGGCTGCGATCTGCTCGGTCTTCTCATCCACAGTTTGCTGGAGGCTGTCCTTCTCCCTGTCCAGAGCAGAGATGGTCTTCTGCAGCACGGCCACTTCCTCCTGCTGAGAGGAGCCATGCCTGCTCAAGCCAGCTGAGCAAGAGAACGAGAACGTTAAGACAGACTCAAGTGAAACAAAAGTAAAAAGCGAAAATTTACAGAAAGCCAAACCAATACAGTTCTAAGCCATGAAGACAAAAGAAAGCCAAGTGTATTTTTCAAAAACTACTCAACAGGGGCATTTTCAGGAAGATCACTGTCTCACTTGAGGCAAAAAACTCACAAAAAAGCAGTAACTACGGAGCACAAAGTTCTTTAAACTCTGCCCTTAACCTAAATTTAAAAAGTTCTATATTCCCCAGTTGTAATGATTAGAACTGGTGTTAAAAACAGCAGCTTATGCTGGAAAAAGTCCCAAAATGCCCCTTCAAGTACTGGAGTCCGTGCTGTTCTCATATTGTTAGTGAGGTCACCTATTCTTTCTTCCAGCTGTCGGATCCGCTCGTGAGCGTTCTGCAGCTCGCTGACTTTCACAGACAGGCGGCGCTGGGCGTCTGAAAGGGACTGCTCCGTCTGTTCTTTCAGCAGCCTGCAACAGGACATTCAGACATGAGCACAGCACAACAGACAAACTGTACCCTTGCCGATCAAGAAAACAAAAGGGCATTCGGAACAGGAGCCTCACCTTCCCTACTCAGCGCCGCAATGTTACCGCAGAACGCGACCGTTAACAGATACTCTGAAATGATGGTTCCCACACCGAGATGAAAGAAATGCTCATGTGGGGCATTACTGCGAGTCGGGCAAGGCAGATGAACAACGTGTTCATCTATTTCAAGGAAGGCAGAGACATGCCGACCACCCTCTTCAGCTCACAGTCAGTTTTCCTCAATGCTCGGCTGGCACTGCCACGTTACAGAAATCTGCTGAGATACATCACCTCAAGGAGCCAGTCTCTGCCCTGTGAAGAGACGCTTCCTCCGATGTGCGTGCCAGTAAGCTGGCCTGGGCCTTGATCTCATCCTCTAGAGCTGCCTTGGTTTCCTTTAAAGCCCTCAGCTGAGATCTGAGCTCGGATCTCTCTTTCTCGAGCTGGAATAAAGAAAACGCGTCCTTGGCATCAAAGCCTTCAAAATGATTACAGGAAATACAGGTAACTGCATTTTTTTCCCATTCATTTCTAAATTAAATAATTTTAGCTGTTCTCTCTGGTGTACATTGTAGCAGTTCTGCATGTTGGTTCTGCATTCATAATAGATCTTTCTTTCTTAGATTTGTAACAAAGTCCTCAAAATGCCAGTTGCACCCTGAAGCGTTCAAAGGTTTCAGTAGAATTTCTGACAAAGAAAGCTAATGCCTTAGACACATTAACACAGCGTGTTGCCTAGAGACCTGTGAAAGAAAGCAATGCCCTTGTCATTTACTTTCTGCACCGTGTTCTCCACTTCCAGGACTCGCTTCTCTTCCTCTTCTCTGTCAATGAGAGCTGCTTCTTGAGCACCCTGTAAAAAACACATCTCAGTTCCCCTTCGTTTCAGAGTCCAAGCCATAAAACCTGCAAATCAAACTAACAGATGACCC